AGGAAATGGAGGGAGAGAAAAACAAAGTTAATCCAAAACATCATGACAACACGGTTATTATTGCTTCCAAATTTGTAGCAATAAACTTTTACTGTTCAACAAAACCGTTATTGCAAAAGGGACGAAGACCACTCCATGTAGTTGGTGGGTAAATGCAGCATCAACATAAACCTCATTGTGTAAGGTTAACTGAAATAGGACTCCTGACACGTTGGTGCCTGCCATCACTCCATGTCAACCACCCGAATACGTAATCACTTGTGTTCATACTTTGCGGCTTCAATGTCATTGTAACTCTGAACTCCTTTTTTTCACCCTTTTCCTTGAAGATCAATTCCCTAGGATCAACCGAAACTCGAACTTGTGGTGGTGCCTTGATGTGCACCTTGTACGTTCTTGGGGACCCAACATTGGTAACAGTTCGAGTGATATTCATAGAATGTCCAGGGCCAAATTTTGGAATTGTGATTGCCGGATAATTGAAATCTGCAATATTGAACGACTTTGGACAAGTGTAAGGCTTGCCGTAGAACATTTTCAGCTGTGAACTGTTGTAGCCACGACCACACAAAAAGTTCAAATAATCAGTAATATTCAAGTCATATACAAGTCCAGGGTTCATAGCACGATTAGGTTGAATGTGCCCTGCACCATAGTCAAATGGAGTTGCCTTGTTCAATGATTCATCCAGGATTGGCTTTCTAGAGTTATCTAGTGTGGTTGCTGCAAAATGCATGAACCTTTTTAATTAGAGTGTAAAAATAGTTGAATGCCAAATAATTCATATAGCTATGTCAAGTGTAAAGGATGTACTTTATACATTACCTGAGGTAATGATTGCTGACTTAATGGCAGCTGGACTCCAATCAGGATGAAGGGCTTTGAGAAGCCCAGCAAGGCCAGCGACATGAGGACATGACATTGAAGTTCCAGACAAAGTAAAGAAAGGCGTTCTTCGTTTGTCAGAATCTAGCTCTGTGAGAGATACAGCTTCACTATAAGCAGCAATGATGTTGACTCCTGGTGCAGTCACATCAG